CCTTCTCGTTCTCTACTCATTCTGTCTTCACCTGTGTCTAGCTTGATCTCCCTCTGCAACCTGTCTCTGTCCTAGTAAGACTGCCTCCAAACTCCATGAACTGAACTGCACCAAACTGAGCTCCACTGCTCTCACTCTCCGCTGATTGTTCGACTCAACTCCCCTGCACGACTGCACTTCACTGTACTGTTCTGTACCATACTGGCACTACTATGTTGTCTTCTCTCCTGAACTCTCTGCCGCACTCTACTGTGTTGTCTTCCGTACTCTCTACTGCACCCTGTTCTGCTGTGTGTACTGCTCTTAAGTAGCTTCTCTTCCCTGTCCTTGTGAGAGTTGGGCGTATTCTATCTCTGACCCATTCTGTCAAATCTTTCTGATTCACCACTCTGTCTGCCCCTATATTAAACATTGCCTTCAAACATGGCTTCTTCTTCTACAAAATAACCTATCTACATTGTTTAGGATTAAAAGTGTATACTGAGGGTGTGTCCGTTCCAGCCAGATCATACTGTAATCCACAGCGTCTCTGCCTTCCAGCTGGATCACATAGACCTAGAAGGTTTTTGGGGGTGATTCCTTGCCTGAGCAGCCATGTTGCTGGATTAAAATTTCTCTACTCACACAGAAGTAAAAAAATCACGAAAAGACAGAGAGAATGCAGGCGCCCACAAGCCAAGAACCAAACCTGCTGGCACTTCAATTCTAGACTTCAAAAGAGACCAACCTCAGAAGCAACCAAACCCTTTGGACCCTTGGACTTCGAGCCTCTATAAGACAATAAAATTTTGTTGCTTAAGGCCTGTGACACTTTGTTATAGTGACTCCAGTAGAACACCAACCATCTTCACACACAGCTGGTTCTCACCTCCTTCTCCAGCCAGCTCACATATTTACGGATGTCTAGCTTGCTCAGTTATTATCTGACTGATGAAAGGAAAATATTTAATTTCCATGCTCTGGAAACACATCAGGGGGAAAAATTTCACACATCTGTCTTTAGAATCTGTGTTTTCCTGCTGTTTCTATTTCCCGGTCCGTGGTACACTGCCTCAGTGTTGTGCTGTTTCTATTTCCCGGTCCGTGGTACACTGCCTCAGTGTTGTGCAGTTTTGGTGCATCAGCTCATCTCCACTGCGATCATCTTTTTGGTGTGATGAATTATTCTTGCTGGTGTGCCCCGTTACATAGTCCTCCCCCATAGTTGCCTCTTCCTATGTTTAAGGGTTCAGAAACTCTAAACGTCTCTCTCAGTTTCCATGTTGGGATGTCTGATTATCCTGAGTAGCTGAGTAGACCCCCATTTCCTGCAGGTAATTCTAATTTCTTTCCACAGCCTGGGGCAGTTTTTAACTTCTGCATTAGAAGCCCTTTCCAGCTTCCCATCGCATCCCACAAGGTTCAGATTCTTGCGTTCTCATATGCATGCATTTAAAACAAAGAAAAGGAAGGTGGTGGCTCGCTGGGTAAAACACTTGCCATGCAAATATAAGGACCTGAGTTCGAATCCCCAGGACCCATGTAAAGCTGGACATGGTAGCATGCATCTGAAATCCCAGAATTCCTATGGTGGGATGGGAGGTAGAGCTAGAAGAATCTGTGGAGGCTTGCGTGCCAGCTAGCCTGTTTGCAGTGGTGAATGGTGAGACCCTCTCAAACAAGATGGAAGGTGAGGACTGATGCTCAGGGTTGTCCTCTGACCTCCATACACATGCCATGGCACATGCATGCCTACCCTCTCATATGAACATGCTCTTAAACATATGCATACACATTATGCATATACAAGGATTTGAAAGACAGAGAGAAAGGGAGAGATGGGGACATGGAAGGATGGAGGGAGGGAGGAAAGGAGGAAGGAAGAAGGAAAGGAAGACAAAGAAAGAAAGAAAGAAAGAGAGAGAGAGAGAGAGAATGAGGGCTCAGTGGGTAAGAGCACTTGTTCTTGTGGAGGACCTGAGTTCAGTTCCCAGCACCCACCTCAGGTGGCCCACAACCACCTGTAACTCCAGCTCCAGGGGATCCAACACTGTCTTCTGGTCTCCAAAGGCATCCGCTTGTATGCAGCATGTACACAGAGAGATACATAAATAAAAATAAATCTTTAAATCAAATAAATAAAACAAATAAACACAATAGAGACTATACATGATAGCTCTTCAGGGTAGCTACAGAATTAACTATTTATTGGTGCCACTTGGAAGATGACCTTGCTTTTGAACAGGAATATATATTTATTGCAGAAATACATGTCCAGAATTTCTGTGTGTTCAGGATGTATGTGACTGCGGGCAAACTACCTAACCACTGTATATCTGGCTTCCTCATCATAAGATAACGGAGATTTTAGGTAAATTAATTCACACTTATGCCTGTTTGCATGCATGCATGTGTACATTATGTGCTAGGATCCACACATAAAGAGGAATATTCGGTCTTTTTTTTCTTTCCAAGTCTAGGTTGCCTCACTAAAATATTATACTCTCCAGGTCCATCTACTTTCCTGAAGGTATCATTTTTTTATACCCAACTAATAGTCCATTTTGTACATGTACCATGTTTTTATTATCGCTCCATCTTTTGGTGCTCATCTAGGTTAGCCCCACTTCCTTGCTATAAAATAGCAATAAACATGGATATATGAATATCTCTGAAGTAGGATATGAAGTTTTGGGGTATATGCCTGAGAGTGGACTAGCTGGGTCATAGTTATTAATTTTTTGTTTGTATGATGTGTGTGTTGATGAATTAGTGAATAAAAATGCATTTGATAATGAAAGTGTAAAAGCCTAAGTGAAGCTCTTTGGCTTCAGAATGACCATTCTAAATATGTAACATAATATATATTATATATAGAGAGAGCTTATTACTAGGCAAGTTTTTGAGTTACTGTCTTAATCTAGCTGCGCAATATTTGATTTGTAAGTTAATTAGAATATATATATATATATAATTTTTTTAAAAGAAGGGATGAGTGGATGAGAGATTACTTCTATCTGGCTTTCAGTGGCAAAACCAAAAACCAACATTTGTAGCAATCAGATATCATGCTAAGCAGACGTCTGAAATTCAATGATGCCCACTTCCTGCGTCCGTGTCTAACTGTGATATGAACATAATGGCTGCTTTCTGACAAGCAGAGCATGACAAAGTGATGGGACGCCACTTAAGGTCATTTCCATGAGCACATCACAAAAGCCTGCAGGGCAGAGAAACGGCTGATAAAGTGCTTGGTATGCAAACATGAGGGCTAGAGTTTAGGTCCCCAGAACATAAAAGCTAAAGGACGTGGTGTTCCCAGCAGTCAGGAGGCACAGAGATCCTCAGGGTAGCTAGACTAGCTGGAACAGCTCCAATGACAGATCCTGCCTCAATAACTAAAAGGGAGACTTGTCAAAGAAAACACTGGATGTCAACTTCAGACTTCCGTAAGTGCGCGCACACACACACACACACACACACACACACACACACAGAGAGAGAGAGAGAGAGAGAGAGAGGGAGGCAGAGGCAGAGGCAGAGGCAGAGGCAGTGACTGTCATCTCCGGGAATCTTCTGCACTCTCAATAAAGCAAGCTGCCATGGCAAAGAGGCAAATAAACAAAACGCAAAAGGTGCCCAGCCATATCCAGCAGGAAACTAGGACCTGAGTCCAGCAATCCCCAAGGAAGGATGCAGACCTGTCAACAGCCCCATGAGACCTGGAAGAGGAGCCTTCTTCGTGTAGCCTTGAAAAGATCCCTGGCCCTCAGCCAACTTGCCTCCAGCCAGTGAGAAACCCTGAACAGAGACTGTGGCCAAGCCCTGCCCAGATTCCTGACCCACAGAAGCCCAGATTACAAGTGCGCCCTGCATCTTGGCAGTACAGGTTGGGTTAATCTGTTACCAGCCGCAGGTCACAAAGACAATAGCCCATATGAGGCTTACATAAATATGAGCAGCATGGCTTATTAGCACTGATGGATGAAGGCAATGGGTTAAGAGCCAAGGTTTTGGTACCCGATAGTCTGGTTTATTAGCTGTGTGGCTTTGGGCAGGATGATGGAAGGCTATAGGCATAGGTGTCTTTTAAATGGACCTGAAAGTTAATTCCCGACTTTCAGTGAGAGCTCGGGGCTACACTGAGATCAGGGCTACACTGAGAGGTTATGCAATGTGCTTAGTTCAATGCTTGCCATGTGGTAAACAGCAGGCAGAAAGAAGCTGTCACTAATAATAATTCACTGTAATAGTAGCAATCGATTAAGACCCCTCAAAGAGCAGCTGGTGTCCCCTGCTTGGACGCTGTCAAGCTGAGCCCTGATGGCCATGTAAAGAAGTGACCAGAAGGGCTGGCATAGTTGATAAAGTGCTTGTCATCTCTGCACTAGGACTTGATTTCAGATCCACAACACTCATATAAAAACAAACAGAAATCAACGGCCTGGCAGCGTGTTCATTTAATCTCTGTAAGGAAGGTTGAAGCAGGAAGGTGCAGGTAAGATTCAGGGAATGGTCCCGGCATGATGATGCACGCTTTGAATCTCTGTCTCAGGGAGGCCGAGGCAGGCAGATCTCTGTGAGTTGGAGGCCAGTCTGCTCTACAAAGTGAGTCCAGGATAGCCAAGGCCACATAGAGAAACACTGTCTCCGGGCGGGGCGGGGTAAAGTCAGAGGACGGCTGAGAATCAGCCTGGCCAATTGGTGAGTTCTGGGTTCAACAACAAGACAAGGTGGAGAGCAAGAGAGGAGGACACGTGACTAGAATGAACCGAGGGGACCACAGACCCTTTCCCAGTCTCAGACTCAGGGCAGGGCAGTCAGTTGTGGGGAGTCCCTTTTTAGTTGGCTTTCAATATTACCTTGCATCCAGGGGCCAGGCCAGCCGTGCCCAGCCTGCACCTTAGTGGCACCTCCCCTCTCGCCCTGTTTCTAGACACGTGTATGGCTACCACCCTCCCTGGGCTCAGGGCAACCCTGCAAGGTAAACACCCAAACAGGAAGTGCCTGTCACAGGAATGGGGCCAGCTAGGGCTGAGGCAGGTCTGAAGGTCAGGAATGTTTCCCAGGGAGGCTTTTCAACGCTGTAGTTCTCCGAGACAAGTCAGGAGCTTGTGTGCTTATCTGGGGACACACAGGCCTGCCCTGAGATGTCTGGACAGGACGGTGAATGGGAAAGGAAGAAACCGAAGAGCTTATGAGGGGGCCCAACACCCAGGAACTTCCGGCTGCCAGGTGAGCTACATATATATTTAATGAAACGAGATCAAGGGAGACACAGTGCAGAGCGCCGCAAGCACTGATCGAGAAAGAACTAAGAGCAGCCAGTCTGTCAGCAGACCTTGGCTGCCCTCGCATGATTCCAGCTATACCTGTGAAATCCCAGCCCATCTTGGCTTTGTCACTCTCCCTTCTCCAGTGTGTTTCAACATTTGTGAAATGGGGTGATGATTCCTTCCAGCAACTCTACCTCTGGCTGTGGGGACTAGGGAGACAATACAGTATATAAGAAAAGCCTCAGTAACTCACAGGGCCCTGTGCAACAGGAAAATGCAGGCCCTCTCCCCAAGAAAACTGATTAAGGATCTCGGAGAGGCAGAAACTAAGTGAGGCGCCCTCCAAGAGCAGGGCATTCCCCATGGTGCACACCCTGGTCTTAAATGTATATGTATACTGTGAAGTGCTGTGATTTCTGTGTGTTGTTGGCTCAAACCTCAGAGAGAATGCTCGTGGGAAGAGCAGTCACAGCTTTTGAGTAACAACCCCTGTGTTGCTGCCTAGCTGACATTGCTCCTCCTTCTCAGGGACCATTTGGGGACAGAAGACCCTACCCTCAGAACCTTCCAGATTCGTGTACTCGGTGGGCATGCAGCCAAAGTCCGATGGGACTCAGCTGGGGCAAGTTTGCTTGGCTGTAACAATAGAAAAATTCTTATTTCCTGTCTTGACCGATACTTGGATGTTCACACAGCCATCAGCTGTGGGAGCTGGACTTGGGATTCCTGTAGTTTTGGCTGCTCTGCTGTTTCAGCTAGTGGCCAGAGTCTTGTTGCCTTGGGAGAAATGGTTGTCTTAATGCAGAGAGACATTAAGGCTCTGGTTGGGTCCCTTATCCTCTCCTTGACTGTGTCTCTTTTCCACTTAGATGCCCCTTTCTTCATCCTGGCCCACATTTGACATTACTTAACCCTTGGAAAGTAGAAGCCAGTGTGTCCTGGGAGACTTCGGCATCCTGAGCCATGAAAATGAGCAATAGGCCACATTCCTCAACCCCACTTCTAGCTCACTCTCGTCCCCAAGCACAGATTTTCATGGACATCCTCCCCAGGATGGGGGCTAGGGTCAGTCCCCATAGGAAAGGCAGTGGATCTCAAACTTTACTTTGTCCATGGAGATTCTGGCCTCACCCCATCAAGCACACACTAGTGGACAAACCACCAGCCGGCCTTGTGACTGTCCGAGAGTCCCAAAATGTCTAGATCCAGCTACTCAGCTTGATGGCTCCACCAGAAACAGGGGCCACTGTTTGTCCCAAGAAGGGAGTGAGCCTGTCATCTCTGTGTTAGACATTCCTTCTCCTGGGGCAGATGGCTTTTCTTTCCCCCTGCCCCCATAATCTGTTGGCGTACTTTTAAAAACTATTTTATGTTTCTTAAGCCTCTACCTCCCTTTTCCCTTCCAGTCCCTTCCAACACCCCAACACCAGGTCAGAGAGAAAAAGGTTAGTGGGGAGAGGAGGGCAGAGTTCTCTTGGCTACTTCCTGCAGGTTAGGATCACTGGGTTCCTTGGGCAAGTCCAGTCTTTGTTTCAAGATATCTCCAACGTCTTGTAAAACTGCAACAACATCAGGAGCAGCAGGAGGAGCAACAGCCTTCTCCTTTCTCAGAAACCTCCTTCTCTCTCTGAGCTCCGGCATTTATTCCCTCTCCAGAGTCCTCAGAATTAAACTATCTGCAGCTGACAAAGAGCTCCTCTCAGAGCCCACATGAGGCAGTCTGCTGCTGTGAACCATCTGAATCAGCTCTATATCCCACACCTGGGATTAAAACAAAAACGTGTTTACATAACATAACTGTGTTTTCAAAGGCACCAAAACTTCCACTACACCCATCAGTAATGAATTTACTCTGAAAGGAATTGGTGGTGTATAGGGTATGTAATACAAGCACTGAGGAGGCTGAGACAAAAGATCAAGGCCATCCCAGGTCTGTGTGTGTGTAACTGCTCTGGTACTCTGAAGTTACTCACTAGCAGCACCTCGATTCATTTATTCCCTTATTGGCATTATCAGGCATTGCTGAACACCTGTACTTGTGAGGCTTGGAAGTGGGGCTGGGAACACAGTAAGAGGACAGTGGCCATCAGGCAGGTAGAGGAGATGAAACAGTACTGTGCCCCAACCCAAAGGCCAGCTGGAAGCACCTCCATGAGCAGATCAAAGGATGCGGCTTCATTCCAGGCATAGCTACTGGGTCACAAGGCTGAGAGAGGTTTGGGGCCAAGCCAGCTGGGGGTGTCTCTTTATTACCCTGATCCATGGCCCTGGGGGGAAGCATCTATGCAGAGCAGCCCAGGCCCCAGGATGAATTCTCCCCTGTTCTTGGCTTTGTTCACTTTGTTCATTCCAAGAGAGGTCAGACAATGGACAGGAGCTCAACCTCTAGAGCAGAGAAAATGCTCAAGGAGCCTGTCTTATATCCTAAGGGTGACAGTAATCCCTGTGTCCCCTCTGTCAGGGATACCACTGAGTCTGAACATTAATGAGAGGTGTTTTCCAGAAGGTCTCACAGTGAGCTTCTGTTGGGAAAATAGCTGACGGGTTGGCTGCATGCACTTGAATGTAAGATAGTAACTTCCCACGCTCACTCTAGTTGAATACTTCAAGTTCCTAGAGATGGGGGTGTTGGGGTCTTAAAGAATAGAATAGGAAGCACCAGGGGAAGCAGAAGCCTACGAAAAGGATGTAAAGGGTGAATAGGATTTCTGAAGCAGGGGAAGGTGGAGGGCTGTTCCTACCCAGGAGACAGGTTCCTATCCATGAGGAGGGGGGGCTCTGTACACGCAATGTGCCTCCCAGGGGATGCACCCTTCACCTGTAGACACAGAAGACTGGCTCTGCCTCTTTGCTTTCAACTTTGGTGGGAACTGCATGCATCAGTCATGGGGTCTTCCATAGACCGTAGCCTGAAATACTCATCACCTAGACCCTCAACGAGCCTAAAAATGATTTGCTGGTCCATTACCCAAAGAGGGTGTCTCTTGACAGAGAGTCTCCAGAAGTCATCATTTGGACAGTCCCTGGAAAGGGACAAGAGAAGCTTGGGGACTCTGGGTCAGGGTGAGTTTCGTAGTGTCACTCAATCTCATATATAATCTAAAGCCATCTCCCTTCAGAGTTTCAGCCTCTCCTGATGGAGAGCCTCAGGGGTCACTTATCCAGCTGGCAAAAGGGCACCCCTGACTCAAAAGGGAAAGACTGTGAGCACCAGGTGATCTCCGAAGCTCCCAACCTCATCCCAGGTTCCCAGCCGCATCTTCCTCCTTTACTGTTGTCCGGATAAATAGACTAAGAAATCTGATTCCGTCTCGGAGCTGATTCATATTCCGACATACAAACAGATCCCCACTAGTTGGGCAAACATCCTTCAACTGTTTCCAGCTTTTAAACCTCGGCACAGGATCTCATTTCAGCCCGGAGAGTCTCTAGTTGGAAGTCTACTTGGGGAAGTGTGGGCATTTATGAAGCCGTGTTTCAAAGGAAACATTCCTTGGTGGATATTAGAACATTGGACCACAGCCTTGTTTTCTGCGGAGCTCCTTTTTAGGAAGTCAGCTTTGACCCTTACAGTGATTCTCAGAGCCTTTGTTTTCGGGTTTTAAAAGGGTGTCTGGCTCAGGGAACTATCAGCACAGTTGCCTGTAGCAACCCATGGCTTTCTGGTCTCCTTGGAGCAGACCATAAGTCTAAAGCAATATCTCTTGCACTTGGCCATCCTAGGCTACTAGCTGAGCTCAAGAAATGAAGAATTTCAAGTGTAGGGTCCAAATGAACCTGTGTTGAGGCTCACGGAAAATCAGACCCACCTAGGTTGTCTTTGAAGAAACATGGCTGACTTGTATGGTTGTTGCAGGCAATGTCATAGAGATTGACAAAATGAAGGCACACAGGAGATTGGCCAGAATCTTGTAAGGTAAACAGCAGGACTGGTGTTCTGCAGGGCGAGGCACTGTTGTTCTGAGCCTCCTCAGAATGCCAATTTGTGCCATTTGTTCCCCCTGATCTGTGCCTGCTGGGGTCCTACAACCAGCTAGCAGGAACAGAACACTGGATTGCCTAGAAGGCACCAGCTGTGGAGGCTCAAGCCAACCTCCTGTAAACCTGGGGTTCAGTGCCTACCTCTGTCCCTCTCTGAATTCTCCATCATATTTTTTCCCCATCTTCCTTTTGGAGACAAGGTCTCATGTACCCCAGGTTGGCAAGAACTGGCTTATATGTCAGAGAATGACCTTGAACTTTTGATCTTCCTGCATCCACCTCTGGAGGGCTGGGATCAACAGGATTGCACCGTGATACCCCATCTGCTTTATGTACTACTGGTGATTAAACTCAGAGCTGCTGGCAAACATTCTACTAGCTGAGATATGTCCCAGCTCCTCTCCACCATTTTGAAAGGCTGTTTGTTCTTGGTGGCTGTTAGTTTTAAATTAAAGGTGGCAAGAAACTGTCGAGAAATTATGCTCTGAGCCACTTTGCTTCAGCGAGGCAGCCTTGATTTGAATGTCAGCCCTTTACTTCTTGGGTGTCCTTGAATGAGTCAATTAACATCTCTGAGTATCCACGTCCCTTTCTGTAAAAATGGGGGAAGCAGAGCAAGGACAGTTATAACTATGTGGGATTGTCATTGGGGTTGGTATCTGGGCCAGATGCTTCCAAGGTTTTGATGTATTTTTAAAGAAAGAAGTAAAGGCACACAAGATTTTCAAAAGTAACAAGGAAATGTATTCATAACAAAGAAATAACACAGGTTGAATACATTGCCAAGACCAACAGTGGCTGCAAGAGTGAAAGCTGGTTACTAAGATGGGTAGCACAGATGTTTCTCCGTTCTGATGGTCAGGCTTGCATGGTGTAAGGCTCTGCTCGCAGGGCATATCCCTTCCCATAATTCATCTGATTTTGATCATATGCATGTCCAGTTATACACAGGCATAAGATGATAAGTAGGAGGTTCTCCCTGAAAGTTCACTCAGAGGACAAAGTTTGCCTCACTGTGCATGTGCCCAAACTAGTCTTGGCCAGAATGTACTCCCTACCCTTGTGCCAAGACATAACCAAAGCACAGCTGAATAGGATCTGAGTTTAATAGCTGTTATGGGGAGGAGAAACCCACTCAACCTTTGAGAGAGGGGTGTGTGTGCACGTCTCAGTGCAAGTGGTACTCCTATGTAGCTGCTAGGTTGCTAGGCGCGCTGCTCGCAGAGTGGTGTGTGTGCCTGCAAAAATAACAGTCTTGGCTGCTAAGTGTATTATTAGCAGAGATGTTAGCGGATAGCCCAAACCAAGTAGAGTCCTGGGTCGCTAAGCTATTCCCTAGGCTTGCCTGTCTTTGAACATCCAGAGCATTCAGTGAGATGCTATTTATTAAGCACTTGACAAGAACAGATATTGACTGCTCTTCTCCTGATACACTTTGAGAAAGGAAAAATAAAAAAACTTCACTTTTTCAATATAGATCTTAACTTTAAGCAGCTGAAAGAAAATTTATCAGTTTGTATAGTTAGTGAATTAGGTGCTAAACAGGTATGTGCATGCAGGAACCCTCAAATATAAAGAGAAATGGCTGGATGGAGGCTTTGCTCAGTGGTTAAGAGGACTTGTGGCTCTTGTAGAGGACCTGGGTTTGATTCCCAGCAGCCACATAGTGACTCCAAACTATCTGTAACTCAGTCCCAGGGGATCAAACCCCTCTTCTGACCTTCAAGGGCACCAAGCACACACATGGTACATATATATACACACATATAGAATAATAAAATAAGTAAATATTAGAAAATATTTGAAGAGAACTGGCTGTCTTCGTAGAGTCCACCAAGATGCTTCAAGTGCATTAGTTTGACTGACTGGGAGCCCACAGAAAGACGTGCCAGGGGCCCATGTGTCCCCAACTCTTGCTTGTGAGGTCAGCACATTGGACCCAGTGACTTGTTTCCTTCCTGTGATGAGTATCTTCTGGTAAATGAAGGCATTTTTTTTTTCTAGAAAAATCCGGATGGTCCAATTAAAAAAAAAAAAATCTTGGTAAATGACAGTGTGGAGGGATATGGGGGAAAATGGGTGGTGATAAACTTCATAGACGCCATCTTCCATCAGGAGGGTGATAGTATTGACTGTTGTTGCTGCAACAAATTGCCACAAACTAGTGGCTTTAAATAACACAAAGGTGTCATCTCACCACTCGGGGAGATAAAAGCTCCAAGAGGGTTTCTCTGGGCTCAAATCGAGACCTCTGCAGAGGTGGTCCTTCAAGAGACTTCAATTTCTGGCCTTTCCCCCCATCTTCAATGCCTGAAGAGTAGCATCTCACAGTCTATCTCCTACTCTTTCTCGCCTTTATCATCCAAGGCCGCTGTCCCTTCCCTATCTCAAGGCCTTCAGTCTGTCACATCAGCAGAGTCCCTTTGTCATGTCAACTCACATAACCACTGGTCCTGGGTATCAGGATGTGTACATTTGGGAGTGGGGCAGGCATTATTAAGACCAGATTAGGAGAAACTAGAATTTTCTTAAATATATCTTCTAAATAGGTGTTTTGACTTAGTAAAACCCATATCATTAAACAAGGTATAATGTAGACTGGTCTCATCAAACATCTCATAGTATTCATGTTTATATAGATGTCTATTTTTAACTTTGGCTGGCACATGGTGGATCAATTATACCAGCTATTTTTGTTGAAACTCTCTACCACCCAGAGCTTATATCCAAGACCTGTCTTTCCTGCAACGTGACCTGCCTGGCATGTTTCTACTGCAGTCCCAGACACTGGGAGGCCTGGGGCCATAGCCCTCTACAGTTTAGTTATCATTGAAATCTCATAAACACAGCAAGCTAGAGGGGGTAGCTGTGAAGTCAGGAGGCCACCTTCCAGCTGAGTACCCAGAATGGTGGGTTTGGGATGTGGCTGCTTTCTGCTGGATCCATAGACCCATGCTTTTGGGCTGTGGGGACAGCTCCACAGATACTTCCCCCTCACTCTGTCCCGAATGAAGATGTCTGAGGAGCTGTCATGACAGTAAAAACAGAACATTAAGAGTCCCGGGGCTGCTCAGAGAATAAGATGGGGGATGGAAGAAAGAGTGTTAATGCTTCAGGCCAGGCTGGTGGATTCATCATCTCTGGGAGAGGATGAGGAAGCTGAATGAGAGGCTCCAGCAGCCCCAATGCTCACCAGCTTCCTGGCCAGGCTTCCAGAATGGCAAATGCGATCCATCCACAAAGTGGCTCTGAATGATGCTGAAACCCAGGGACCTGTTCAGGATAACAAGGTCCTGTCCAAGCTTAAAAGAAAGAGCAGTGCTGTGATGGAGCGGTAATGTCTGCCTTGGCAAAGAGGTGATCTGTGTGCCCCTGCTCTGCCAATAGAGAGGAAGGGGAGGGAGCCTGCAACCAGATAGGTGCCTGGGAACCTAACAGAAAGGGCTATGCTTTACCTGTGTGACCTTAAGTGGGCACACTGGTGCAGGCTCTGCTCCCTCATCCCTGTCTATCCAGAAGCTGGGAAAGCCCTTTTCAGACCTTCCCTTCCCAGTGTTCATCGCTGTATCTGTGGGGCAGAGGCCTGGGCACCCAGACAGATAATCCTTGACTGCCTTGGTGATGGATCTTGAGCCTGCTGCAGATCTGAGCCTTCATTCTTTCCCCACGGACCTTATCTGCTTGCAGCATTCTCAATATACTTGCGTGAGCACGGAAAAGTGGAGGTTTGGAGAAAAACTCTGGGTTGGAGAGACTCCATGGAAGTGGAAAGGCAGTAGCAGCCTTGTGCCAGGAGCAGGTGGTGTTGTGACGTAGGGCTGAGCAAGGAGCAGCAGCCCATATATGGGGGCTGGGTTCCATGTTGGTAGCACCCAGGCAGTCACAGGCGGGAACTGACTTCCCACAACCCAGCATGGAGTAAGCACTCAATAAAAATTGCTGATATGGCTCTGATTCCAGGGAAGAGGGTTTATACTTGGCCTCAGATTTTTTTATTTTTATTTTTTATAGCAAAGCTAATGGGAGAAAAGGAGAGGGTGAAAAGGAAAGGAGAAAGAAAGGTGGATGAGGTAGGGCCTAGAAAAAGCTTTTTACAGTTTTCAGTCATGTGAATAGATGAGTTGGGGTGTCTGGCTGGGGGGCTCCCCTATTCTGAGGGATAGGAGAGAGGCGGTGTGGGAGGGTGGGAATGGGAAGAGAGGAGGGAGTGACATATGACTGAGATATAAATGGAATTAATAAAAAAGAAAAAAACTTTTCAATATGGAGGCTCAGTGTGATGGCTTGAACCTGTAATTCTAGCATGAGGCAAAGGCAGGGATGGGAACAGTAGGGTGGGAAGAGTGGGGGCAGAGGCAGAGGCAGAGGCAGAGGCAGAGGCAGAGGCAGAGGCAG